TTGGGCGCTCTACCTTACAAATCGAAAGGATCGGTTCATTGTATGAAAATTAGTAAAACCATATGTTTCAAAMGGAATTTTATCGGAATCAAGGTATGTATATAAATTCGTTTTATTTTAGAGTAGTATAGACCGCAACTTGCTTTAAATAAGTAGAWGCACTTTGTTTTGCTCTTACCGTAGCGTTTATTGCACGTCGAACAACGGACAACATAAAACTATATTATAGGACTTGTGTTGGCTGATAAATGAGCTCTGTATATACAGCAGTGCCGACAACAACCATATATACTAAAAATTGTAGATTACCTGTGGAATGTGCAATGTGTGCAGTGAATGTGCTGGGTATAAACAATTGGGCATTATGTGTCCGCTGGGTAATGTGCGGGTAAATGATATAAAAATTATTGCATTACTGAGGTGTAAATGTGGTGAAGCCATCTGCAATAACAATGGCAGACGTGGATATGCCATTGCAATATGTACATAGATATACTACGTACATATACATATATGTATGTATATACATACTTCTTAATGATAAGGTATGTACATAGATTATATAGTCGTAAATATTTGGACAAATTGCGTATAATAAATTTGGATCCGCTCATGGAATTGGGGTGAAATTTTATGCATTTGTAGACTCTCTCAACTATAATATGAGCAAATAAATATGTATGCATGTATTATAAAGTCACCATAAATGTAAAACAGCGTATCATCAAAAAATCAAAATAGATTTTTTTTTTTTTTTTGATTTCATAATATATACAAAGGTATGTATGTAATATAGTAAAACTTCAAGCATYCGCTCTCAGATATAACCAATATAACCATTTTATAACCAACACCCAAATTTTGTTTCAAAAAYAGTGGTTTCTATTATATGGCTTTTCCTTCGTCTGTAAGCTTGTGAAAAACTGATGTTACGTTCTTCTACATTTTAARTGACAATATATATTTTATCCTATATGCTTAACATTAAAACGCTACTTTGCACCACCATATTTTTAATCTGATTAAAATCTGTGTTTTGGTTTCAAATCAGGATATGAGCATGCCTGTTGCTCAATTAAGTGTGAAAAAATGTAAAAATATTTGCTACTGATGTCATTTCGTCTTAAATTTCTTACGCTTTKTGTCATAAGTCTATTATTATTCATAAAGCTAAGTGCAGTGCTTAGACTGTATACTTAATGTGTGTCTATTTCAATTATTTTCTACAGCAGCACATACCCTGTAGATCTATTGTTTTTGGTATGTTCGAAAATTGTGTAATTGCTTAAGTAAGCTTATGTATTGATGAGACATAAGTAGTCAGAGAGCTTCAAAAGGCAGAAACTAAAAAACTCGTAATAAAACAAGACTCATTTGACAATACGAGACCACTTATATGGAAAAGCAATAAAATTTAGTATAATATTTATATAGTTTGAAGCGTGAATGACAGATATTAATTTAGTACCAGTACTCTAGAAAGATATTGAAAATGAATCCATATTTTCCAACGGCTAGGAAAATACTATTTTTACAGATGAAAATATTCTACTCGTTAAGGAAGTTTTTAATAAAAAAAAAAAATCTAAGCAAAACACTCAAAAGATACAAAACAACTAATTTAGTGTTAGATTGGAAGTCTCCTGGAAAGGCATTACACCGTTAAAGAGCATTTGGAAGGAAAGATTCTGCTCCGGCACATAAAGGAAAATCACCCAGCAGTGGCTTAGAAGTAGCAATAATGCTGGTTTCATAACTGGAGACTGCAGTCTGTGATTGGCGTTGAAAAGCATGGTCTACCCATGAAAATTTGTGTTCTATCATCAACGTTTGAGAGCTTGTTGTGGAAGCAAAATTTGTAATTTCAAATTGTGGAACAAGAAAAAATCACACGGAGCCAAATCTGGTGAATACGGTGAAATTCGGTTCGGTTCGTTGGTGCATTATTATCGTATAAAATCCATGTTCTTCCACAATTCCGCTCGTCTTTGACGGATATGCAAACGTCACAATACGGTCAAATGGAAGTACTCTTATTGACCATCTGTCCCTCTGGAAGAAAAAAAAAAAACAATGAGCATCACCTTGATGTTTGATCAGTTTCGGCTTGTTTTTCCCTTTCATTGATAGCATGTCAAGCTCATAAGTCCACGGTTCATCGGCTGTTAAATGCTGTATCCTGGGTTCGGGTCGAAYATGTCTAAAGAGACCTGTTTATGGTATACTTCTTGAAAAAAATTCAGCTTTATCGGGACGAGTCGAGCAAGAACGCGTTTCATATCCGAAATATCCAACAAAATCATTCGAACGGACTCGCGAGAGATGTCGAACTATCTTGCCATTTTTCTTATACGTGTCTGACGATTATTAATTACCATATYCTTCACTTTTTTAATATTTTCGTCAGTTKCAGAGATGCAAGGTTATCTGCAAYGTGGTACGTTCTCARCGCTCTCTCTACCGTCTTTGAARGCTTCGTAYCATTCGAARGCATKTGTTTTTYGATAAARCTSARTCACCGTTAGCCACTTCCAATATTGGCCTTGGGGAATTTAATTACAATTTCCGTGTGCTTTTTTTGTGTCAACATATTTTTGATGAAATAAAAATAACATTATTAAAATATTTATTATAGTTTAATTTTTAGAACGGCCTGAACTTGTAACAGAATTTATGGCAGGTCTAAGTAATAAATATGGAATACGTTGTCTGCAGTTGCATCTAGCAAAATACATTTATTAATGTATATATAAAGTGTCTTTCCTATAGATGGTCTTCGGACTATTTAAAAGAGTAAAATTCCTTCTAAATATTAGTCAATCGTTTAGTAAATCCATAAAAAGATTGTAAAAACCTTTTCCAGAGTAATTAATCAATTTGGCTGTTTCCTTTCCAATTGACAAAAAGAATCAGTAGCATTGAATATTTTTGCACGGATAAAGATAGCAACATTCTGGCACTTAGCWTCGTTCTTGAATTCATAATTCAACAAAGTACTATATACACCAGCCTTATCAAATCTACAAACGATTTTTAAAATCGAATTGTTCAAAATATTGCACAAACCATTTTTATCCTCAACATTTTTTGCAAAACCGTCTTCAATTTGATTTCCAGAAAGCATCCCTACTTTGAAATAACGTTTCTTTAAAAGCTATCATATCATAATTGAACTTAACTAGGAAAATAAATTAACCATTTAGATAGAATGTGATATAAAATTTATACTATAAATACAGTCACGTATTTAGTTGTGCAAATATGCTTGCTCGCTGAATAAATACAGTCGTAAATAAATGTTAATAAAATATTTTCATTGCTGCCTCCAACATTCTCGGTGTATCATAACACATGACTAATATTTAATCTCAATTCCATATAAAATGGTGTAATTAAAGACTGTGACTTTTACTAGTCACGTATGCTATAAATATGAGAGTTTTTAATTAAGACTGTTATAACATAATGCCTGTGGCATGCTAAATATTATGGAAGAGTGTGCGTCTAATGAGATTTTATGAATGAGAATACTTTGTTTTTAATATTATAAATTGCTGCATTAAGAGTCGCTTGATKATGAAAATGACGTGAAAAATCTTTTTTTTATAAATTCGTAGAGAGGGGCTAAGTGCAGGAGGAATTGAATATTTTATACTCTCGCAACAATCAAAGCAGCGAAAATACCCTTAGGTGTTGGAAAAATTTTATATCAAACTAAGGGAAGTTTTGTCTTGAGATCATCCATTAGCAAGAAGATAGACTGTATTAGAAAGAGATTCTCTTCTGCAGTATAAAGTTACCAGCAAGTTTTAAAAAAATTATATGGGAGCTAAGAGTCACATTTGATCCCATTTCGACACTTTTTGGTACAAGCACTGTCGTCATCTAGATTGAGCTCGGTAAAAAAAACCATAAATAACGCGTGTTCAGTATTGTTATGCATTTCATCATGGAAAGATTTAAGCCTGAACAATGTTTACATRTCGTTCAACTTTACTACGAAAATTCACTTTCTTCACATCTTCACCCATCTCGAGCAAGCAGCAAGACCGCTTAGAGTCGATTCGGCGCCATTCGCAACAACTCGCACTGATGACTTGGCGCATTTTACGTCGAGATCTTAAGGAAGGCGTATAAAATACACCTTGTGCAAGAGCTGACGCTGCTCGACCTTCGCAAGCGACATCACTTCGTTCTATGGGATCTTGCAAAGTTCCAACAAGATCGAACGTTTTCCATCCAAATTTTGTTTAGCGATAAGGCTCATTTCTGGCTCACAGTTATGTAAGCAAGCAAAATTGCCGCAGTTGAGACCAAGGGAAACCTGAAGAAGATACCGATGTGAATGTAACCGTCACTCGTTCTCGTTTTGGGACCGTCGATTGGCCACCAAGGTCTTGTGATATTACAAAAGTTTGCCAATTATATTGAACTCAACGGATGAGTCATCTGATACGTAGTCAATACCAACAAATATCAACAAGATAATCTTCAAAAATTAATGAATTAAAAATAAATAACTCTAATTTAATTTGAAGTTTCTGTGTTAATTTTTAAGCAAAAAATATCGAAATTGAACACCCTTTTCTTTAAATTGTTGTATGGTATCCAATTTAATATAAATAATTAGCATAAATCACAAGCCGAAGCTGAATATAGAAAAAGTGAAATGAAATCACGATTTAGCTAAAGTACTCTAAGTGAGGTGATTTCAATTCATTGAGTGATTTTGAACAAGGTCAGTTTGAAAGAAAAATACCTACCATAAGCATTTTCTAAACAACAAACATCTAGTTGACAATTACTGCTGAATTAATTAAGATCCCAGCCAATAAATTTGAAATCACAACTTTTTAATAATCATAATTAATAAACGTATTTTGCTTTAGAAATTTTACACTATTATAGAATTTCATTTTTATTCACAATACTAAACTAATATTGAATAATATGAGTAATCTCATAAACCTAATTATGATACTATACATATATACACGTACATATAATTTGATGAGACATTTTACTCATAGATACGAGCGCACTCACATTAAAATCTCAATTAACCGCTTAGCAAAACTCTGCGCAGCCCAGTGTTGAAAAGGTATTTTTATGTATAATTATTTTTCTTTGTTGAATTACTTGCATTACACATTCCTCAAATAAAATTTGCACAATTTGCGGTTGTTTGATGGCATTGCGGAGCAGGAGCAATTGATGTTTCTATGAGACCGGTTGAGAGCGGCTGAGTGTAGCGAGGAGAGTAGCTCAAAGGTGGACAAAGGACGTTCATAAAATTAAAAAATATATCTACATATATGACACGAGGGGAATCGAAGTATTTTCTTTATTTTTGRTTATTATTGCGATTTCCACTAAACGGCGGTTTGAAAGGAAATTATGAAAACCAACTGTATTATGTGATTTCTCTTTTACATATAAGCAGCATACAAGAGGGACGAGAGCGTAAACGTGAACACAATAATAAGTAACCACACTACTTTATTCGTGCGATTTATAATTAATTTTTATTTTTAAATAACGCCGAGGACCTAAAATATATTTCACACATCTGCATAAATGCACACATGCCAAGAAAAAATATAATAAACATTAACAGCAAAATAAATACATGTTTTTTTAGAGAATTTTCAAGATTTTTTTTTACGAAAACAACAAAAGTGTCTCMGAAAACAACAACTATTGAGAATTTTATATTAAATGGGCTTGCATTTATCGTATTTGCAGATTGTGGTGCATAAATCTAATAGGCGCTGTGCCTGCTTTGCGCTTAATCAGCAGTTATGAAACGGAAGTTATGGATTATATATGCATATGCTTTTGTTAAGTAATTTATTTTATTTTTTTCCAAATATTTCCTTTTATTTTTCTATTTTTTTTTCTAATATTTCAATTTTTTATTTTTAATTTTTCGAATATTTTATTTGTGATTTTTGAATAAAATTATTTTATATTTTTATTTGCATTTTCATTTGCACAATATTTATAACAGTTCCACACGACAGCGCAGCGAACCGTTGCACCACATATTACATTACATTTAAATAACTTATTTATATTTTTTTTTGTAATTTTACATTTTTAGCTAGCCCACMACAGACGGTTCACATAAGTTTGCCGACGAATTGTCCGATGCCGACCCGCGAAACAACGCACTCGAACTAATTCTAATGAGTGCAGTGGTAACTCACGGTAGTTCGGCGGCGTCTGCTCTATGAGTACCTAACGTAATGTGATGAGTCGCTAGTGCCGCTGTCACACTAATGTGCGCTACACCAGCGATAGCAGGGTCCATAATTGCGTTATAGAGAAGAGATGCCTCCAATAGACTAATGCAGTTTTGAATGAGTGCGTTTCTTTTGCTAAAATTGAGGTTAGAGAGTGAGTGAATTTAACTATTGATTAGGATTATTTCAACACTTAGTGGTCAAAAGTTTGTTCAATTTTAAATAACCCACTTCTTAACAAAAATTACGGTAGATTTCCACAGAACATTGGTTTCTGGAGCCTTACTTGACTAGAAACTTTCACCAACTATTTTTTGTGMAATCTGTGAGAGGGGAAATCTTTCCAAGTTTACGCTGGAAGACAAGTTTCTTTAAATTTTAAGTTTTTACAGTCTTATGGAACTACTTTGAGTAAGACCAACACTGTTGCTTAAGTACATTTTCGTKCTCTTTCACTCACGGTCTCTCCGCCACTGCTATGCACATATATGCGCTTCGCCTAATCGTAGCGATCGTAATAGTAGTGTAGGGCACTCTGTATGCCACTATGCCTGCTAGTCAATTCATATTGACTTTACATTTACAATTTGTTTTACTCAATACTTTTGATTTTGAAATGTTATTCTTGATTGGAGTGAAAGGCCGGACCACAAATTTTAAGAGAACACTCATTTTTTTTTTTTTTTTTTTTTTGTAAATACACAACAAGATTATGCAGTTATTTATAAAAGTTTAGATGTTTCTTGGTGAGTAAAAATACATGCAAGAGCATGCTTCTAGAGTCTAGACAAGCATGCAGTCCATAAACATTATTTTTCTGGTTTGTATAAAAATAAGCATGTTTCACAATGCTGCAGCASTTTTGTTCTAATCGTGGTTGTAGGTAAAGACATGCACATTGATACAAAATTAGTGAAGTGGGGGGTCAACCGTTTATTTATTGCACTGCAGTTTTGTTGTCGATGAAACGCTCGCGCTTTTTTACAGCATTACATTTTGAAGATTTTCAAAATAATTTTATGGTAGAAACTTTAGCGGAACACGTGTTCTTTAATAATATGCTCTGCGGCTCTTTGGCGATAACCACGTTACATAAGCGCTTGGCGTGTTTTTTATAGAGGGTAATAGATTGGGTGCAAGCAATTAGCCTAAATTGCCGAAGTATTTATGATTAAATTGATCTGCACAACGATAATGGTCATTACAAGGAGACTACAGCTGCTCACAAGGTAGAAATTAAATTTTATGAAAAATTTAAAGAACTATGTTAATGGTTCCGTCCATTTATTATGAATCAGCGGTACTTCGAACCCGTGTTTTTAGTTGGTTTAATTTTTATACGTTTGCAACATGTTGCTACGGAGTATAATAGTTTAGTTCTCCTAACGATCTCTTTATCAATATACCTATAGATTTATATATATATAGACTATATATATGTATATGTATAAGTGTATATATACTTTATATATACTATATATATAAATTATTAGAATGATGAGAGGAGTTGAAATCCGAGTGACTGTCTCGTCCGTCTGTCCGTGCGAGCCGTAACTTGAGTAAAAATTGAGATATCTAAGTGGAACTTTGCACAAATGATTTCTAGGCAAAATAAGTAAGGCACGTAATGATAAGGCGGTAGATGGGCGTAATCAAATCACTGCCACGGACACAAAACACAYGTCTCGGGGCACGTAGCAACGATTTCAACCACATTTGACACGTGACATTCCTCGGACATTTTCTTGTGACAGTGTGAAAAGAGTCGAAATCGGTTTACAGCCACGCCTTCTTCCTATATAACACAATTTTAAATTCCATTTGATCATTTTACTTTCATAAGTCAAGAAGGAATTAATATAAGGGGATCAAATTTCACACCAAACATTACCCAAATCCAACGAAAACTGTTCAAACTCCTAGCTACCGAATATGTGGACCCCAATATCTATAGAAATGCGTGGATATAAAATTGAAATTYAGACAGCAACCTTTCCTGACAATAGTGTTGCTGTTTATTCAAAATGGGTTGAATACTGCTAAGATTTCTCTTTCCTTAGCCCTCATATACTTAATACAAAGATGTGCGAACGTCCGGGTGACTTTGTACCGCATATATTATATCAGCCAACTTTAGTTATCTTAATGAAAATGAGCGACGGTTTTTTACTCAAAGCAGTTTGTATCTAGACCAAAAATGCGGGAAAACTTGACCTAGCTCTCTTATAACTAATGTCAAGGAACATTTCCTTTTCTTAGTATGCGGCTTGACAATAGTTAATAGATAAAATAAGGTCCCAACTAGCCCAACTCCCATGAGTACACAAGTATAATCATTTTCGGTTCTCTAACAAACCTTATGCCGAATATGTGTTTCCGTTGAATGAGTTATACATATATAATATATGCTCGGTTGTACCTGAATTTTTTTTAAATTATATTAATTAATTAATTACATATAATATTATAACTACTTAGTACAAGTCTAAACGCAAATGTGGAATTAAATCACAAACTTTTTCGGGTATCAAAATCTTCCTCCAATATATTGCTTTATATACCATAGAGCCAACAAATAGGGCTTTGCGACATAAGTCGCCGTATTATTGAAACCAAATATCATCCACATCAACATGCTCCAATTACAGTACGGAAAACTCTTTAATCATGGCTCTTTAGCATTTCCTTTTGACTGTAACATTATGGCCGGCTTCATTTTTGAGTCAACCATTGATTAGCTCTGCCCATAGAACATTACAAACCTTGATACTTTGTCTTAACAATGGATTGTGTATTACTATCGCTCCAAATGAGGCAATTTTATTTATTAACGCAATAACCAATTCATCCAAAAGTGAGCTTGATCGTTGAACAAACATTTCTTGTCAAAATCTACATCAGTAGTTGGATTTTGTATGCCCGCAAGGCAAGCTCTCTTCGGAAAATATTTCATAAAGTGAATAGCATAGCTTCAATTGTTTAGTTCTATGCCGGATGGACTCTTTCGGATCTTCTTCGATAGCGTATTCGCAGCGCACTGTACGAATCTCTGAGAATGTRCATTATCCACTACAGTAAATGTAGTGTGATATCGGACCATGGTTAATTGTAATACTTAAACGCAGTACGCGATGCATCYTGCGGACCAAGCCAATATTTTGGTAATAAACTTCCACGACTTGCAAACGCTATTCCGGAATTAGTCTCTTAATTGTAAAGTGGCAAACCAAACTGAATAAAATTCAGACAACAACAATCAAAAAGAGCGATTCTGAAAAAATGAAAAACTCTTTACCATAAGCATGCTGAATGGATTTGGTGCGAGGGTGTGAGCCAAGTTTTATAATCCATAAAGTACAGTCAAGAAAATCAGGGTTATTTTTCATCAAGAAATTAGTTGGTTAAGTATTCAAAGTTTAACCTTTAGCAAGAAACTTAGGGATATTCAAATTATGGCAAAAAAATATTCTCGAAAATAACTTAAAATATATTTTCTGTGACTCCATCTGTGCCGATTTACATTAAAGTGCTTGCTAAACTTTCAAAAACTCAAACCTTAGAAAAGTCAGAAGTTACATATGTATGTACATATGTAAAAAAGAAGCTCATTGCTCGAATATATTTTGTGTCTTTTTAAAAAGAAAAATTGCTAACACGAACTATTTTTAGTGTTTTTTTGTTTTTCGAATTGTATCTAACGGAAGTTAATTGTATTTTAAACATATCCATACCTTTTCGTATGGATAGCATGTGGGTTTAAGATTAACTAAAGGATGTGTCTACAGCAAAAAAAATTCGATAATTTCAAAGAAGTGAAATCCAAAAAATCAAATTCATATTTATATTTAAAGAAAGTAATTGGACTTTTTCACAGCAAATCAATTGAAGTGCGAATGTCAACAAAAGAAAAAATAAAAAAAATAATAGTGAAGTGTATTAGAGTCATTAAAGCATAAGCACATAACACCTCAAGTCCCAGTGATATCAGCATTTTCAAAAGACTACTCAAAACCAACAATTATTTGAAAAAGATTTAATGAATTGCTCRATAAAGAAATTGCAATGAAATTTTTAGCCAAGAATCACAAATTGAATTTGTCAGCGAAGTTCGTTAGTTTGCTCGGTCTATTATTTTTACTCATTTGCATGGCATCCAGTGACGGGGATGTTCAATCCTTTCCTGCGCGAAAAAAACCAAATGTTCAACAATTTCCCGCTCCAAAACCGCCGCTAGAAGAAAAAACAACACTAGCAACGGTGGCTTCTACGAGTACAGAGGTTCCAGAAATTCCGGATGTTGAACCCAAGGCAATACCGACAAAACCGCCGACAGAAGAAGCAACAACACCACCAGCGGTGGCTTCTACGAGTACAGAGGTTCCAGAAATTCCGGATGTTGAACCCATCTCTAAACCGTCGCCAGAGGAAAAAGCTACACCAGCACCGGTGACTTCTACGGATACAGAGGTTCCAGATTCTAAAGATAAAAAGGCAACAGGATTTCGGATTGTTCACCCAACGGAAAAATCCATTCTAGATCAAATAGAACCCATAATTACGCCTACAGAGCCAACGTCGAATRTACCTCCTGTGTCCAAACGTACAATATCAGATCAAAATGAACGAAATGAGAATGAAAGTCATAATGATTTGATTTGCAAAGATGGTCTCATCTTACGAGCTTGGCGTCCCTTGACGGGCATATCACCGGTAGAACGTATACTTCGAGGCATAATTTACTTTCTTGCAATGGTTTATTTATTTATTGGTGTGGCCATTGTATCGGATCGATTTATGGAGGGTATTGAGGTGATCACATCCAGTGAGAGACATGTAAACGTACTCAATAAAAATGGCCAGAGAGAAACCATAACGGTACATATGTGGAATGAGACTGTAGCTAATTTGACACTAATGGCTTTAGGATCGAGTGCACCAGAAATTTTACTTTCCATTATCGAAATGTTTCAGAAGAACTTTGAAGCTGGCGACTTAGGTCCAGGTACAATCGTCGGCTCGGCAGCATACAACTTATTTGTCATTATTGGCATTTGTATAGTTGTCATACCGAAAGGTCAAGTGCGCAGAATACAACACTTTCGTGTATTTGTGGTGACAGCTCTTTGGTCGGTATTTGCGTATGTGTGGATGTGCATGATAACAAAGTATATAACACCGAACGTTATCGATATATGGGAGGCTTTGGTAACATTGATATCCTTTCCGATTTTCGTTTATCATTCCTACATCACGGAACGACGTCTCTTCTGTCCGAGATGTTACAAAGATGATGCATATCGACCAGGCGTTGCCATGAGCTCCATAGAATCGCCGGATCGTGTGGCGGAGCCAATACGTTCGAGTATTAAAGATTTAATTGAAACACCAGAAATGCGTGATTTCGAGGAACAACGACGTGAATACATCACCAAACTGAAGGAATTATATCGCAGACATCCGCAATATGATTTGGAAAAGATACAAGCAATGGCACAAGAGCATCTAATACGGGAGAGCTCGAAGTCGAGAGCTTTCTATCGCGTACATTCAACACGTCGCCTCATGGGCGCCGGTGGTGTGTTGAGAAAAGCACGTGATTATGCAGCTGTGGAAATTGATCAGGCTAAGGCCGTATATCGCATGCAAGTAGAAGAGGAGGAACCAGAGATTGATGATGATATTGAGACACGTTTGTATTTCGAACCCGGCCATTATACGGTCTTGGAAAGTGTTGGCGATGTGGAGCTGCATGTGATTCGTGCTGGTAGTTTAGCGAATTTCACCAAAGTCGAATACTACACTGAAGATGGCACAGCCGAAGCTGGTTCAGATTACATACCCGTAAGTGGTGTACTCGAATTTTCACCGGGTATTGAAGAGCAAATTATCAAAATCACTATTGTTGATGACGATGTTTTCGAAGAAGACGAACATTTTTATGTGCATCTCAAGAAACCCAGCGATGATGCTGTAATCATCACGCCCAAAGTAGCGACCGTCATGATTTTAGACGATGATCATTGTGGCATTTTCGAATTCAAAGAGAAAGAACACATCATACCCGAAAATGTGGGCATCTACGAAGTGAAAGTGAAACGTTATTCGGGCGTACGCTGCAAAATCATTGTACCTTATTACACCAAAGCGAAAACGGCCACATCGGGCAAGGAATATATGGATGTGAAAGGTGAACTGATATTCGATAATGGTGTGTATGAGTAAGTAAATGTCATATATGAATATATATAGAGAAATATGAATGTAATATTTGGTATTTTGTACCATCACAGGCTTTCTATAGAAATTGAAATCATCGAAGAGCATAGCTTTGAAAAGAATGTAACCTTCGAGGTGCATCTTGGTCAACCAAGAGTATCGGAAGGTAAGCTCACATATATTACTGCTTAGATAACTGTTTTAAAATAGTAAGTATGTTACTAATAATGTTAATAATTTAGCTTAAACTGAAACCCCTATTATTTTTAAAACACTTATAATTGCCTTTTGACTTTTTCAAATTTGATATTACTAAATATTAACTGCGTTCCCTATATTCTAAACAGACGATCCTTTYTTACTACGAATACGCGAAGTTCAACAAAAGCCTGACGAAGAAAGAACTTTTCGCGATAATATTCTTTTGGCTGGCCTACCGAAATTGGCAGAAACAACAAAAATACTGTGTCACATTGTAGAAAATGAAGAATTTAAAGTAAAACATCTTTTTAGAGACAAAAACTATAACAATTTTATGTACAATCTAATATGATATATTTTAYTCCATAGCAAATAGTTAACAGGCTRGTTCAAACAGCGAATGCCTCAAAGCTGATTGGTACCACCTCGTGGAAGGAGCAATTTTTTGACGCCATGACAGTTTCAGGTTTAAATCTGTTCATWAATTTATTTATATTGTATATTACTATTATTTCCCGCATTTAGGTGGGGGAGGACTTGACGTGGATGATGCTGATGATGATATTGAATATGAGGAAGATGAGGACGACGCCGATACTGGWCCCAGCGGTTGCGAATATTTTATGCATTTTTTGACGATTTTTTGGAAAATCTGCTTTTCTATAATACCACCAGCAAGTAAGTAGTGGCTGTAGTTTTTATATTATTCTAGCTCAGGAGTATCGAAAGAGTGTGCGTCCTAGACTCTCCAGTCTAAAATTATTTTGTAAATCGCTTTCGGCGGTTAAATAGTTTTCTAGCTCATTTTTTACACTTTCCAACGCTAAAGTTAAAGCTGGTTGGCTTAGAAAGTTAAGAGCTTTAGTTTCACTATAAGTACACTGGGAACTGTTTGGATCACCCCCATCTCGCTGCGGTTTATTGTTCAATGGTTAAGCCTCACATGAGTTTGGTAAGCGCTGGTCAATTACCTGTAGCAGTTGCAATATTCTGGCTGGAGGTCGAAAGGTATTTAGTTAGCTCTCGGCTCTCAGCAATGTTTTCCTTTCCGTAGTTGTAGTGGTTTTAATTCGACATTAAATAGATAGGAAAATTGAGGCTTTGTACTGCAACTTATGGTCTATTGTGCTCTCCCCTATATCACATATTTGTGACATTCCTGAACAGTTYCAGGAGMCCGCTGGGTGAGACTGAGGTAATGKGATCCCTATCTCTGTAGATTAATTCCACATTGACCAATAGATTTTTTGTTTAAAAATCTTATTGGATTATAGTTTTAGAGGCTGCTGGTAAGAGAAGAATAGTTTCAGACTTCTGTCATAGGTCTCACGTATTCAGGCACACAGGTAAACTAGGAGTACACATCAAATTTTTGATAGTTTCAAGGCACTTTGTCGAAACATAACGTACAACTTAAAATTTTTTTGGCTTAAGTTACGATAGGCTTATACGTATCAGTCTCATTGTGCTCCTTAAGTCATTTAGTTTGAAGCCCACTTCTATGTACGAAATATTACTTAGCAGAAACCCGTTCCTGGTCCTATTTCAACTCTTAATCCGTCGGTGAATATGAAGATTACCGGCGTCGGAACTATCGATTACAAAACCATTGGTCTATTATTCTCTATYGGGKAAGTTGTGATTATTTYCGAACRGCTCYTCTTTTCTCGTCTCATTGCCAATTCCGTCTGAGTTGATCGAGTACGACACCACTTTCGTAGTGACGTTGAGTCGCATTCCTATGACCTAAAATCATGAGCCGGCTGACCGTAAGCAATGCGGCATACTTTACTTGTATGACGCATTTCGAGGTTCCGTACTTTAACGATGAAGCACAGAAACTTCAAATTTCATGGSAAATGTTTATTATCAATCTTATAKTAAATTATATTGTATGGAATTTACTTTTTGAAGATTATCTCTTTCAAACATTGGCCGCGGTTACGTCTAAAATGCTGCATCCGTTGAGTGCAATTTTCGATGAAYTATTCAAGCATTTCGACTGGTGACTGGCGAATGACATGTGTGACGTTTTGGTCCAAGGTCTGAATCGAAGCGAGAYAGTCCGCGTATACTTCASATTTTGCATCTTTATTATTGAGCCAGAAATGGGYCTTAGCGCTGAATCAAATTTGGCACGAAAACGTTGAATCTTCATAGCACTTTTTAGGAGCCCATACAGCGCAGCGATGTTGCTTGGCTGGGTCAAGCAGCTTCAATCTTTGGACAAGCTATGTTTTGTACGCTTTTGCTTTAAGATCTCGACGTAAAATGTGCCGAATCGACTCTTCAACGGAAAACTTTACGAACTTTTCATATAAATTATTTTTGTTTTGTTGATTATATATAAAATATTTAAGTATTATTTTTTATGTTATATTTTCAGAAATCTGTAATGGATATCCATGTTTCTTAATCTCGATGATCCTGGTAGCAATTTGTACTGCCGTTCTCACGGATGTTTCATCGCACTTCGGTTGTACATTGGGCGTACTAGACTCGGTTACAGCGATTTGTTTAGTAGCATTAGGCACCAGTTTACCAGGTAATCGATTAATAACAGGTGTCTTAGCTCACTTTACAACAATTCTTTGTTCTATGTTAGTATATTATTCGCTTTTTGCTTTCATTTTTCATCCAATATTTATTCATAATTTCATTWTACTAGATACATTCGCCAGCAAAGTGGCCGCCATACATGACAAAACCGCCGACAATGCTATTGGCAATGTCACGGGCAGTAATGCGGTGAATGTGTTTCTTGGTATCGGTATAGCATGGTCTATGGCAGCCATATATCACGCCATGCACGGAACTATATTTTATGTGCCTGTAGGATCGTAAGTAAATATGATACACAAAACTAGATGATATTCAATAGTCCAAGTAGTTTAAGTCTACTTGTTTTAATGGAAACATTTTGAATTAAGCTTTGATTTTCACTTATCTTCTAAAGCATAAGCATTATATACTTAACGCATTTCAATCTTTTAAATATTTCTACAGTTTGCTCTTTTCAACGGTGCTCTATCTGGCCGAAGCGGTTATCGGGTTCGCGATAATAGTTTATCGTCGCAAGGCATCCATAGGCGGAGAGCTTGGCGGTCCTGTGGGAGTTAAGTGGTTGCATRGCATTATATTATTTGCACTTTGGTTTATTTATCTAACGGTTAGCACATTGGAGGCATACGGCATTATATCAGGTTTCTAAAAGGATCGCATAAAATTCCAATATACATACAGACATACTACCAATATTATATAACTTAACTTTGTACATAAAAACTTTGTACTGTTAACAAAAATAAGGTTTTTTAGTTCTTACAAATACAAAGTTTATGTAATACAAACATGGAAATTTTATGAATTTTACGTTGAATCTCCATGAAAGTGTACTGTGGGAAAGACCGACGACGACTCGAGATATATGCGAAGGCCTTGTATAATCATTATGCACAAGTTTTAAATCATAATATTGTTCACCATAAGGATTATTCAGCTACTTAAATGAGGCATCTGTATATTCACGCCTAAACTTTGTATCTTCGTTGATAAATTGGATAAATAATAGTACTTATTTTCAGCTTTGTATAAGATTAATTATGTGTGACGGTATGAATTTCATACATATTTTTGGCTATATAGATAATGACTAGATATTATATGCAAGCCTTTTTTATATAATCTCCATCTAGTCTAATACATTTGCTATAATGATCCTCCAACACTTTGATACCGRTTGTATGGTGTGCAGTTTCGACACCTTAAAATTATTCAATGGTTCAGCTGTTTCTCATTTGAATGAGATCATTTTAACCTAGTCACTTTTAAGTCTTTTTTTGAAATGGTTTATGACGCGAGTTCTTCAACTTATCGGTTTCTTTCATTGATGTTCACMTTCACATAACGCGACACCAATTTTGGGTAAAACTTTAAGAAAAAGTTAAAAAAAAGAAATTAATTCAACCTACAATCGACCGCAAAAGAGAGGGAATGACTTCACCGAGCCATTTGATACCAAACGAGGTTTCAGACAAGATGACTCCCTATCGTGGACTTCTTCMATCTACTCCTGTAGAAAATAATTCGAGCTGARGAGCTGAATGGAGCAGTAATAATCRTCTATAAGAGTTTACAGCTGGTATATAGTGGACGAGGACAAGACGAAATTTCTCCTGTCATCGAACAAGCAGTCGTTGCATTCGCAACTTGGCTTCCACGTGACTGTTGACAGTCATTACTATGAAGTCGCAGATAATCTCGCCTATTATCGAACCAGCACCAACAACAACGTCAGCCTCGAAATCCAACACAGAATAAATCTTTCCAACAGGTGTTACTTCGGACTACGTAGGTAACTGAGAAGTAAAGTCATCTCTCGACGAACAAAGACTAATCTTTACAAGTCACTCATCATCTTCGTCATCCTATATGGTGCAGCGGCATGGACGCTGTCTCTTATACACATCTAGATGTGTATAAGAGACAGGCCTCAGTCTGAGAGTACTCGAGGTACTACTCGCCGGAGGAAGCAGAGGAAGAGAAAGTCCTTCACTCTGTTGGAAAGATCAGGTGGAGGCTACACTTGGAATCTCCAATTGGCGCCAAACAGCGGAAAGGAAKAACGACTGGCGCGCTGTTGTAAACTTTACTATAACCGCGTAAGCGATGTTTACACCAAAAAGAGCAAGAAAAAGATATTTATAAAGTCATGTGGTTTTTTTAATGGCTTTGACTGCTTAAGTTAAAGAGTTTAGAGACAAAGTAAACAGAACTTTAAATAAAAAAAAAGAGGACAAATGGTTTTTGCAGCAAAATCAATTTATTTTAATCAAAATAGTCCCCTTCTGCTTCAATACAGCTTTTTGTAAGGTCTAAAAACATGTCGAACGAGTGTTTTAGGTCGTTGGCCGATATGGCCGCCAGTATGCCGGTGCAAGCCATTTGAATGGCCTCTACGTCAGCATAGCGCTTTTTTTCGTGAGCAAATGCATTTTTTCGAAAAGGAAGAAATCTCATGGTGAATACGGGGAGTGGTTAAYAGTTAAAATGTGATTTTTGGTCAAATAATCGGTCTCGAGCGTCGATCGATCTGAGCAATTCTTGATCGTCAGTCAATTTGTGCGGAAGAAACAGTGCACACACCTTTCGTAAGCCCAAATATTCCGTCGAAATACGATAAATCGACGTTCAATTCCATTTCCATGATTTTCAATGATTATTTCGGCTGTTTCTTATTGAATTCACACAGAGTTTCGATGGAATTTCCGGTGATCACGGATTTTGTTGATCGGCATTTATGTCCTCACGACCACTTTGAGAACGTTGAAATYACTCGTACACTCTGCCATAAACTTTGAAACATTTCGGTAAAAGTTTTACSAATTTTGAAAMAAAATTTAATGTGGGCTCTTTGTTCGAAGCTCTTTTTYGCACCGATAACACAAACATACTGACACTTAAAACGCAATAACTTCACTTCCAATCGATAAAAGCTGATRAAATTCTCTCTGGACAATCGACAGAGATAACAAAATCTATCGCTTAAGTCGACGTATAGAAGGCGCTGGCTTCAAAAAGTCTTGTTACCTTTTGAATCAATATTGATCGTCGTGACATGCTGAGACGATTTAGTCATATCCGTCTTTCTGTTTGTAAAGGTTAYGCGAAATAGTCTTTCAGTCTTTGCGATATCAATCATTTGTTGGAATCGTCGATATCGAACTACTATAACAAATTGTTGCTGAACGCTCGGAATCAAATACTTGTTGGAGAACCTTTTCATTTGACGTGATATTTTTAAGAAATTTGGCTTAAATTGTTGAGTAAGGCAATTGAGCAATCTCCGAAGAAAGTGTTCAGATCAAAATACTCTTGCAAGKTTTTTCGTGTTTAAGTCGCACTGCCTTCAATAACGGAATAATGGTCTGCCAAGTGAATTCGTGCGATGCCTGAGTGAGAAATTTACATTTCCTGTTGAAATCTCATGGTGAGAATCTGAAAAAATGTATTCACATTTTTATCAAAGTTGAAAAAGAAGAGAAGGAAGAGGGTTGTAAGTTCAAAACAAAGAACTAAAGCTATAGTAGACTTTTGTATATAAAAACTTAACGACCACTATTGAATTTCATATTAAGCTGCAATTAATTTTTTTTCTTCTTTCTCTTTTATACTTCTTCGCACAAACGTAATTGCGAATTATAGCAACAAAATTACATATTATAGCGGTAATTGAGGTCGTAAAGTATTCCATGAAAAAAAAAGACTATAAACAATAATTTTCAAACGAAATAAGTACCGCTGAAATAAGGAGTCTATAACCAACCCAATTAGTTTAAATATTCACTTGAACACACACATACATACATGCATCTATTTTTATATGTGTGTGTAGGAGCTTTCAAACCAACGCCAATCTTATTGCATTAACATYACGTTCTCATTGAATGCACTTAGACTTCTATTAGACCAGGCTAAATTTCATTATTTCCCCACGCCCGCGTTCCCGCGCAATCACTTTGTGCCCATGATGGATGTGAAAGTTGAACAAAAAAAGAAAAAATAAATAAAACGCTTCCAAGAGGAATATGATTTTATTGAATTTTCCGTTCGCGCATGCGAATGTGTGTGTGCGTGCAAGTGAGTGGCCATTTTTCTGCGCTCCTGCGCGCCCTTTCATCCAGTCAGGTCAATGCACAAATGCACAATTGATATCAATTGCAGACGTGGCTCCTGCCGAGCGAAAGAAAAATTGTAGAAAAACAGTTATAAATGCGTATTGTGCAAGTGGAAGCGTTGTCAGACTGTGTAAGCAGCTGTCGCATGGAATACCCGCCAGCTGAGAGTCAATTGCTTTGCTGCAAATTGAAAACAACCGAAAAACGGTTATAGCAAAAGTCTTTTTCCGTTTTGTGCAGCATTTTTTGCTCGAATTTTTATTTTGTTATTCAACATATAAACTTAGGTACTTATGGTAAGTACKTATATGCTTTGGTTTCGCTTTGAGTTTGTGGTTACGAATAGTTTTATTGGTTATTTCCATTTTAGTTTTGGGTTTGAATATTTCCACAAAACATTAAATTTCCAGTTTACAACTCTGGTTTTACTATTAAGAACTATATTTTAAACAAACGCCGTTTTAAGTTTTTAATTCAAAAAAAAAAAAAAAAAATCGATAAAATGATTTTACCTTATATATATATAAAAATGAATCGCAAAATGTGTTGCTGTGTCGTTTTTTCTAAAGTCCTAAACTCCTAAAAATAGMCCTTTTCTTTTTCYCATACAAACGAATGAATGTTTATTTGCTGAAACAATCTTGATGAAATTTTCAGWGGTTGTTCGCTGTGAATCGTCATTCTGCGGAAATTCCTGATGCAGAGAAAGGTCCAGTATTATACGAGCAATGCGATGAAAAGCAATATGGTTCATGCACCTTGCGGGCACCACAATACCACTTCGGTTTTTATGTCTGACAATAAATGCACGAAGCACTATCCACGTGCTTTTCTTTCGGAAATACAAACTAGAAATGATGGATATCCATTCTATCGGCAAGTGTGTTCTGCCCAATCCACGAAATGGAAGACCCAACCATCTGCGCCAACTACCGTGGAATAAGCCTTCTCAACATGGCCTATAAGGTTCTATCGAGCGCATTATATGAAAGATTAAAGCACAGCGTTAACAAACTGATTGGACCTTAACAGTGTGGCATTAGGCCTGGAAAATTTGACCAGATATTCCCCAAGCGCTAATTCTTAGAAAAAACCCGCGACACGAAGATCGACAYACGCCACCTCTTCGTCGGTTTCAAAGCTGCTTTTGCCAGCTGAATTTGGTATCCCCGCAAAACTAATGCGGTTATGCAAACTGACGGTGATCAATGCCGTTCGATTCAAAGCAAGGTTTCGAAACCCAACGCAGAATAAGTTTAGCCAAAAGGTGCTTCGAACTGAGAAGAAATTAAGAAGTAAAGACCTYTCTCGGCGAACAAAAACGCCTGCGTCACATATTAAACCATGTGATCAATTCTTAACATGACAACGCTTTCCATACATTTTCCATAAGCATCGGCTGGAATGGCCTTCAGTGCACTCAGCGTATGACTATTAATGGTTTCAGTAAATTTCATATTACCCGAAAGGGGAATCAATTTTGAAAACAGAACAAAATCACAGTATGATAAATCTGGCAATTAAGAGCACTAAGTGATAATTCTCCTTTCATGTTTGGCCAAAAAGTCAGTCATAAACATGTCCATG